CTATTTTTCTTTTGTTCTTCACTGAAGTAAGGTTTTTAAATTTAATAAGGTAAAATCTATTTAACAGTTTATTACTTCCATCTCTGAAAACCCTATTTAAACCCCCTCTACACTGTAGGCTATCTAACAGTAAGGGCAGTAAACTGTATTACTCACAACCACCCCCTCTCTGTGCAAAGAATCCCCATCCACAGGCCACTGACTTTGGCTTGTCCTTCCCAGAGTTATAGCCAATAGACACAAATAAACATGGTTTTCACCAGAGCCAAAGTATATGATTTAAAACAGTAGGCTGGGGAGATGTCTCAGGGCATAAAAGCACACACTGAACAAGCCTAACTGTGTTCCATCCCACACAAAAAGCTGGATTTGTACTACAGCACTCCTAATGCAGTGCGGTGGCAAAAAGGAGAGACTGTGCCTCAAAACAAGGCAGAAGCAGAGAGCCAACTCCTGAAAAAAATGTCTGATATCTACACTCAGGCCCTGTCCCTTCCCCATTGTCACAGAAAGGCTAGGTCTTGAAAGTGCTGCTCCCTCTTGGTGGGGATCCAGGAAGCAGCTGGCAATGAGGGTGAGAAATGAGGATAAGCCATGGCAACTGACTTGGAGCTGACAATGTACAACTGATAATGAGAGGAGGAGGTCATGTTGTTCTAAGACGCTGAGATTTTATGACTGTTGCTATAGTAACACAAAATGTTTGCCAATTATCTTCACTTTGGAATAATTGACAACTCGCACACCGTAGAATTTTGGGGCTCCTCAACTTTTTCCTCCTCAGTTCAGTGTAAGATGGGCTGTGTTCAATGAATATGAGGGTCATTTATTCTGGTGAATGATGCTCTAATTTGTCTACTGAAGAATGTACAATAACAATGATACCAAAATGGTGATTCTGGAGATACAGCTTAAAGCAACTACTATAGTATTAATTTCTTTGGAATTTATTTCCTCTTAAAACTGGAGTTTGTTTCTTTTGACTCTGAGCAAAATGGATATCCCAGAAAAGCACTCTACAGTTATTTCCTTATGCTATGTATCCAGACACAATGTGTTTTACTCTGCTTAGAGGCACAGTAGGATGAAACAAGCTCATGAGGTTTGTCACCAGACACAGGTTCAAACTGTCTTACAGGTTTCTTTTTTTCTTTTTGGTTTTATTTTCGAGACAGGGTTTCTCTGTGTAGCCCTGGCTGTCCTGGAACTCACTCTGTAGAACAGGCTAGCCTCGAACTCTCGAACTCTCGAACTCAGAAATCCGCCTGCCTCTGCCTCCCAAGTGCTGGGATTAAAGGCGTGCGCTACCACCGCCCGGCCATCTTACAGGTTTCTTAAAATACAGGACATCTGACTGCATATTTAGCTTTTCTCTGGTATTTACTTTCTTTCTCTTCTGCAAAGTGGAATAAGATCTGGCTATAAGAGATAGACTGTGTGAAGGTTAGTGCCTAATACATACTGTAATTTAGAATAAATCAGAGAAGCTTAGGTTAGTGTACTGAGCATTCAAAAGTTGGCTAACCACACAGGTAAAATTAAATAAGAAGAGTATGCTAGACTTGCCAGGTATATGGGGAACCCTGTAATTTAATAGGCACATGTAAATGATATGGTCACAGAAGCCAGATTCTAGGAAAGCTTAAAAAGTACCCTTGGAAAAAAACTACTTCAGAGTATGGGAAATGTCTCTTTGATGGAAAGTATAACTAAATCTAAGCAAAAGCATCTTATTACAGTTCCTGCTTTTAAATCAGGCAGCTTTGTAGACCTCATGTAAGCAACTATCTTAAGAACTGCTCTCCTAACCTGGTGTATACTGGAGGTAGTGACAGTAGTAGAGTAGATTATGGTTTCACTGGAATGCCCCTGAAAATGCTTGGCTACTAATAAAAGCAATGTTCTGAGAAGTTACTCAATTATGAGTATTCTGACCTCATTTATGGATTAATCCATGGATAGGTTCATAATTGCATAGAAAGATATGAGAAAATTAGGGAGGTAGAACTTAGCTGAAGAGAAATGGGTCATGAAGTTATGCCCTTGGAGGCTATGCCATAATTTCCAATCACTTAAAACAACTTACATCCACTCATTCATACAGTGTGGTATAAGCATATGTAATGTTTCCATGTGCATGTCTGTACAGATACATCTGCTTGTGGAAGCCAGAGGTCAACCTGAGTGCTGTTTTCTATCACTTCCTACATTATCACCCTTTTACAGTTAGTTGTTTTTGTGTGTCCAGGGGAGGTAACTGAGGAGATATATGCTCACCATAGCACACAGAAGAAAAACAGAGGACGATTTTTGGGGAGTCACCTTCTTTCCATTGTGTGAGATCCACTACCAGTCTCCAGACACATTTTTCTTTCTCTGCCTCTGGTCTGCTAAAACATGGGCCACTCTGTTCCACTGCAGGCTCTTGGCCATGGTGTTCTGCCTCACCATGAGACAAAAATCAATAGTGCCAAGTAGCCATGGACTGCTGAAACTGAGAGTCAAAATAAATCTTTTCTTCTTTAAGTTGATTTCTCAGGGATTCTGTCAGAGTGACTTTCAGAACACTAACACTGAGAAATGGAGAAAAAATGGCATTGTGCCTACTGGTAAATCTAACGAGTGTTTATAAGTGGGCAATGCTCTGGGCAACTAAGAAGGTATAATGCTAGTAGTCTTGGCTGGCACAGGCTTATAATCTCAACTACTCAGGAGGCTGAGACAGAAAGACTGGAAAAGGCAGCCTGGCTACTTTTTTTTTATTGAAACTAAGCTTTGCTACATGATCCCAGAGATGGGCTAGGGATGGGTATGTGTTATTGGATCCTTGAGTGAATTCTGATCAACCTGGGTAACAGCAAGACCCTGTCTGGAAGTTTTAAAAATTTTAATAGGGCTGGGTGGAGTATAAATCAGTGGTAGGGTGCATATCTAACATGAACATGGCCCTCAGGACAATCCCCAGTACTGCATGGAAGGGAAGGAAGAAATAAGGTAGTGCTGCTTCTCCCTGCACATGGTTTCACAGCCTCTCTTTCTCTGTAAGAAGATGAACCTTTTATTCTAAGAGCCAAATTACACAGACATAATTTCAAATCCTTAAAAAAAAATTCTGATTACTGTCTCTCCTTAGGCTTGTTTTCTTTAGTAAGTGCTGCTATCTTAAATTTGATAATTAGGCCTTTACTTGAGACTTCATAAACAACATTGTTTCTTACTTTTAGAAAAGGTCAACCTTTTCTTTTTTCTTTTCTTTTTTTTTTCTTTTTTCAAGACAGGGTTTCTCTGTGTAGCTCTGGCTGTCCTGGAACTCACTCTGTAGACCAGGCTGGCCTCGAACTCAGAAATCTGCCTGCCTCTGCCTCCCAAGTGCTGGGATTAAAGGCGTGTGCCACCACCACCCGGCTAGGTCAACCATTTCTTAATAGTTTAAAACAGAATATATTAATGTGCAATTTAATTCATATTTACTAATACATTTAAATAACTTAGGTGGTACATTTCTATTATAACTTAACTACATATAGTTGTTTGGTGTATAATAAAAGTCACAAGGCTTCTTTTCAAGTTTACCCTAATATCTCAGAATGGGTTTCTCCTTTTTCATAGCTAGACATCATTTACTAAGAGTGTGACAGTTAAGATTATTTCAGGAACAATGATGCTGACTTAACTCTTGGGGTAAAACAAGAATTTTGTCAATTTCAAATAGTTTATATCTTTATTCACCTTGATTCTCTTTTAGTTTTCAACTCCCTCTCCCATTATCGATCACCCCTTGATGCTTTTTCCCATGTTTGTGTGTGTGAAGGCTATCTTCCTGGATGTTGCTTTCAGCTTTCTCTTGAGACATGATTTCTTTCAACCCAGAGCTTTCAGACCATCTTGCCCTGGGAACCTAATCTATGTCATCAGACTGGAATTATAGGGCCCTACCAAGCATTTTATATAGGTTCTGGGGATCTGAACTGCAGTATTCTTGCTTGTATGGTGAACACCTAACCAACGAGTGGCGTCCTCAGAATATTTGTTTTGTTTTGATCATTTCCATATTAATAACTTCATTTATTGTTAGATGGCAATGCCAACTAAAAACATCTGAAAGGAAATAAGTTTCTAAGAAAGGCTTTACCTATGTTTTATTAGCTTCTTCTATGTAACACTTTAATTTTGGAAGACTAACATTAACTATGAATTAAAGCTTATCAGGAATATCATATATTTTTTAGAATTACTCTATTTTAAAAGTATTTGGATGCTAAATTATTACTCTGAGTAAAGAAAGTACATGGCCCCTAAGACCAGGCATGGTAGCACAAGCTTGTAATCTCAGCACTCACAGAGACAGGAGGATAAAGAGTTCCAGGCCACTTTGGTCCACACAGCAAGACTTTGACCCAAAAACAAAGAACAAGATGGGTGGCTGACAACCATCTGTCATTCTAGTTCCAAGAGATCTAATATAATCTTCTGCCCTTTGTGGTATGAGTGTGGTACACATACATACATGTAGGCATTCACACATATGCATAAAACATGCATAAATAAAATTTTAAGAGTATAAAAATGCAAAAGAAAGTATTCATTAAAACAAAAATGGCTACTGTATATTTGTTTCAAATAAATTTAATGCAAATAAACTGGAGTCTAATGTTAATATACATAAATGACACTTTGATGAATATTACTTATGATAAAATTTTTTAATTAACCTATCCTAATGACTAGAATAAAGTACAAATTCATTCAAGCTATGTACTATGTATGTATCTCTTATGGAAAAACTATGAAAAAAATTACTTTTTGATTGAACACTGACCTACAGTCCCATTAGCCATCTTATAAATGCAACTTAACAAAGCTTTAGCAATGCCCACGAATTCGATCAGAAAAAGAAAAATCAATGCACAGAACCTACTGTTAGCAGATGTAAAGGCACTCAGAGAAGAGTTTACAGATATACTTGACTTATAGCATTTAAGTGTCTGGAATATCTATACCTGTTCTTCATTAGACGAACTTCTCTCTTTCGTGCTGCTTCTTCTGCAGGCTGTGTAGGAAGTGCTGGGGAGGATGCCATAACAACTCCAGGGGCGATGGTGCTAGTGGGTGCTGTGCGAATCTGGTATGTTTGTACATCGCCAGAGGCAGCTGCAAAAAAGAGCAAACAAGATATAAACACTACAATTATTTCAACTCATTCTCAACCAATCCAAACATACTTAGGTTAAAAGGGAAACAGGGAACATGATTCTAGCTAAAAAGAAGATCCCACTCTACTGTACTATTAGTACATCTACAGTAAGGATGTCTTAGTGTCCTTGCTGGGTCTTATAGTTATGTTGTACTGGAATGGAGATCTGTTCTGTGGTTTACATACTTGTCGACCTTAAGTCTAAGAGGAAAGTGGGGCCAGCATAAATGATCCTCCTAGATATAGGGCTCAGGGTCTTCCCTTGATTTGGATACATTCATATTAAAAAAACTCAAGTAGACTCTTGCCACAACATAAAAACGACCATGATTTTTCATAATAGTAAAATAGAAGAGAAAATAAGCATATTGTAAACTATTATAAATCTCTAATTCAAACAAAACTCAAAGTATGAAAAACTGGACATTTGATTAACAATCATGGTATATGTTAACAGACCTTAATATAAGTGATAATAACTAAAAAAGTAAAAGCTGGATTTTTAAAAGCTCGATTTTTTTTTTCTTTTCAGTTTTCTAAGATAGGGTAGCCTTGGCTGTCTTAGAACTCACTATGTAGACCACGCTGGCTTTAGAGATCCACCTGCCTCTGCCTCTGCCTCTGCCTCCCAAGTGCTGGGATTAAAGGTGTGTGCCACCTCACTAAGCTTTGGATTTTCCTAACCATATAATCTCCATATGTAAAAAAAAAAAAAATCACTATTTGTCTATTATTTGCTTCTAGAAACAGTGTCATAATATGCTTTAATTAAGTACCCTAGCACTATGTGAGAGATTTTGAAGGTCTTTTATAAAATCATCTGTATCAGTTAAAAATACCAATTGTATCGTTTGAGGGACAAAGATTTATATACTAAACATGTTACCATATTCAAACTGACGTTGAGAATTCAAATTCACTGACATCCTGCTTTACAATTTTTTGAGTACCTGCATGTAAAGTGAAAAGGTGTTTTACTCCCACTAATAAGCAAAATATTTTTTTCAAATATCATTGGTCTAATAACAAGATATATAGTATGAATATATTAAAAATTTTTAAACAAAAGGTGTTCTACTTGGTGTTTTGGTATGATCCAAAAGTAATTACCCATTGTGAAGGGATATAACTCTCATTAACACAGGCAACATTAGTTATTATTAACAAAAATATTTTTAGAAGCAAATATTATTTTCTTAGTCTATACATTTTTAGTCTGTTATAAATTATGAACTCTTCAATGAATTAATGGAGAATAGTTAACACTCTCCAGACTTCTGAAATATTTGGGAAAAAAACCAAAATCCTGTAGTCCATCGAGGACTTAAGGACAACTTGTTCTCCATGAGCAAAGATCTGCACGACATATGGTTTTTTTGGAATGTTTTAATCCAAAATCAAAACTGATGACTTTAGAAAAGTTCTATATTCCTTTTAAGTAAAAATTAAAAAACAAATCAAAAGAAAAAACAGAAAAACAAACAAAACAGAGAGCAGAATCCACTAAACTCTTTAATAGTGATGTAGCACACAATGAGGTGAGAAGAAAGAGGCCCAAGGAAGCTGGTGTTACTTGAGGCCATACAGCCTGGCTACAGCTTCCTCAGTTCTCTTCTATCGTTGCCTGTTTCTCCCAGCCCTGAGAAATAAAGACAGGTATTGCTCTTTTTAAGCTAAAAGATAGTTGTTTTTATGCCACGACATTTTCGTTCAAGAGGAAAGTTTCATGAGAAATAGTTATGTATTAAATACATACATATCTAAATTGTTAATATCTAAATCTATACTGAAGAAAACTATTTTAGTAGTGCTTTGCAATATACTTACTTTTCATGAGTATACACATTGATTTTTAAAAGAATGTACCAAATGTATGAATTCTTAATTCTATTACCTTGAACAACAACTTGGTTGCTGGGCACTAGAATCTGCTGTCCATCAGTGGTCTGTGCATACTGTAGAATGGTAGTACCCGGCTGAGTGGCAGCTGCATTGGTCATGGTTAATGTCTGCAGGCCCTGTACCCCATCGGTACCATTGTTAGCCAGCTGTATTGCTCCTCCCTGGGTAATGGCAACTAAAACCCAATGAATTTTATTGTTACAAGTTTAATTAATACCACATAAGACTTTTAAAACACACTAAACCCATGCAATTAGCAAAGCATAATCTAGGAGAAATTATTCTAGAAAATAGTATCACCAAGAAAGACTTGGTATATTCAAGTAACTAACTGTGTATTCAGGAAACCATATCAAATTTCTATGAGAGAAATGTAATCTATGAACTGTACTACAATAAATAATGCGTGGTAACAATATAAAAAGTGAAAACTCAAACTCTTTTTGAACTTACTTAAACTCCAAGGAGGTCCTGCCCTACAATGATACTTCCCTTTACAGCACTGTTAACTCCCTCATATATTTTTTTTTTACTATCTGCTGCTTTAATTGTAAATACATTTTTGTAGGTAGAAAAAAATTAATATAAGAAGCACCCAATATTTGTTTGTTAAAAGTATAACTAATAAAGCTATCTGTTAGTAAATTATATTTTCTGACTCTTAGTGCAATTTATAAACTCTGTCAGTAGTGCACTTAGACAGCCATGTGAAAGCATGACACTTCTCAAGCGGGTAAGGAAGAAAAAAAAATCACTTGAGCTAGGAGTTAATAAATAAATGAAATTAGTAATATTTAAGAAAAGAAAAAGAAGAATCAGTGATACATTAATGTCCAAGGCCCTAGGTTCAGTCTCTAGCACCTACCACCTATCATCCCCACCAAAAATCTCATCAATGACAGACGTGAAATGACCGGGACCTCAGTTATTATGAGTGTCTCATGAAGCTTAAAAGTAGATCCAAGACCCCCATTTAGATGCACCTCATCTAGTTCTAAGCTCTATGTCTGGGTCTTCATAGAGTCTTCTATTGACTGTTTGATGAGTAAGCACACTAGCTACTATCTGGCAAATGAAAATTAATCAATGCTCACCCAAATCACTCTTACACAACAGTACACAGAAAAAGTTACTTGAAAGCTAAGTTCTTATCTTGTTTGGAATACATAATCTCTAGATACCAGAACTGAAAAATATGATTGACTTCTCAGATAAATCTAAGGATCAAGTTTCCCAAAAAAGACTAAAAATTATAATTTATCTGAGTAATTTCATAAAGTGTATATGTGTCTGTATATGCATGGTCAAGTGCTGAGAATTAAACCTCCACACATGGTAGGAATCCACCCTATTGATTGAGGTTTGTTCTCAGCTATTCATAATGGATTATAAATGCATTAAAAGGAAAGTAAAAAGAGTGTGGTATTAATGTATCTAATTATGCTACTGTTTAACAGAAGTGAATTAGTTTGGAAATATCAATGAGCTCTAGGGAATTATACCATCATGAGTGGTGTGTACACAGAACATTGATAATTCACTGTTCAATCAAGAGCTATGAGTTTATGATTACTAGTCACTTTATCAAGGTGATAAATTTGTGGAAATTAACATACAAGCATATATAATCCTATGTTAGTTAATCCCAGATTTTACTATCTTAGATGTCTAAAAAATGTTAAAGAATTGTTCTATAATTAATTTTGTAAGATTACTTGGAAAGGTCTGGAGCCATGGCTGCTCTTTCAGAGGACCTGGGTTCTATTCCCAACACAGGGAGGCTCACAGCCATGTTCAACTAGTTCTAGGGGATTGGACACCCTTGTTTGGCCTTTGCAGGCACTGCACACACACCTGTGGTGCACAAAGAAAATATCCAGACACATAAAATAAAAATACATGAAGAGGGTAGGGGAAGGAGAACTTTAAAGAGTCAGAAGGTTAACAAAATCGAATCTTCATTTTTCATAGAGTTAGTTTGCAAATTCAAATGTATTTAATTAACACTCTACTATTTTCTTGATCACACAGCAACAGGCTCAAAGTGAATGGAAGGAAACAACTACACGAGAAAAGATATGGGCTACTCTGGTAAGATCATTTGATTTTGTTATTTTTCCTGGAAATCTAAAAACATCTGTTCTTATGTAACAGATGTAGTTGTTTTAAACACTAAATAAGCGCTCTCTGTCTCTCTCTCTCTCTCTCTCTCTCTCTCTCTCTCGCACGCGCACACACACACACACACACACAGACACAACAATTCTTTGAAAATATAAGTCTCATCTAAGATTTAAACATGTTTTTAACTGTGCAGTATTTACTTATATATTTGATTACTTTAAAAGTGTAAGATAGTTTTGACAAAACCAAATTCATTAAAATAAGAAACTCATTATCTCTAAGTATAATTAAATCACTACCAATAAATATGAACAAGGAAATATAATTATGTTAAATTTTAACTTAAATAATCTAAATACAATTAAATTGTATTAGCTGAGATTCTGTACCAGACAGCTTATGGAAAACATAGAATGAAGAAGGAGGGATATATATAATCCCTCCTAGTGGGAAAGGATGAGAAAGAGGTTTACAGTTTATAGATATTATAAATCCAACTCTTAAAGTTTGGTAAGCATGTTAGCTTTACAAGTTATACACTATAGGGCTGTGGAGCTGACTAAGAGCACTGACTACTCTTGCAGAAGACCTAACTTCAATCCCCAGCGCCCCGTGGTGGGTAACCACCACCACCACCCGTGACTTCCATTTCGGGGTCCAATGCCCTTAGCCAGCTTTACAGCACCACCTACATGTGGTGTTGATGTACATGCGAAGTAACCACACACATAAAATTTTTTAAAAAATTAAAAATAAACAAGTTACAAAATAAATAGTTTGCCATACATGTTAGTATTCATTATATTGTTTCTTAGTGGAAAAGAAAAACCAAGAACATAATGCCAAATCAGTTTCATCAAAGGCATACATGCATGTACAATAGTATATAAAACGAATAAAGCTTTAAAAAATAAATCTCAAAGTCCTAGTACATTTAAACTAAAGCATCTAAGGGAATGGTAGGAAACCCAATACTTCTCCCCATCAGCTCTTGTATGCCTCTTCTAAAAATCATCTTTTCTAGTTCACTAGTGAGACTCCGGGAAGTCATAAATTAGGACAGGAATATGTTATACCCCTCAGTATGTTCATGCTGGAGGAGAAAAAAGTCAAGTCCAATGTCAGAGAAGAACCATCTTGAACACTTAAAATAATTTGGATATGAAATTATCTCAAACTAAACACACACAGACATGGAGGTGAGGGTGGGGTGGGAAGATGGACCCTTTTACAGCTACCAATAATTTAAGGGAAAAATCCATATCAGCTTATTTAGCTCAGTTATCATCGATAGTAAAGACAGTTTATCAGAAACACCATCCCTAGGGTCCAGACAGATGACACAGGGGGTAAGAATGCTTAATCCTCTTGTAGAGGACTTAGGCTTGGTTCCCAGCACCCATATTAGATGGCTCACAAGTGTCTGTCACTCTAGTTCCAAGGAATCTGATCCAAAGGCTTTCCAGAACTGCTGCACACATGTGATGCATATAAACTCACGCAGGCACACATACTCATAAATAAAAATAGCAAATCTTAAAAAAAATACCCTCCCTTATAAGTAATGCCAAAATTTCAAGTGCTGGAAAAGCTAAAAATTTTGCTTTTAGGCATCTACTTTAAATACAGCTAGAATACAAATTACAGGCTGGCAAGCCAATATCTTGCTAAAATTAAAAATAGTAATTTGTGTGTGAATCATGTAAGAGACATGGTGGAAGGCAAGATAGGGTAAAAGAAAAAAGAAAGTGACATTTCCATAAATGCCTTTTAACAATTCTTTAATAATGTCTGACAGTAGTGCAAACAATATTGGCAGCAAAAGCCGTGGCACTCATCACTTCCTTAAAGAGAATCCAACAGTTTTCCTTCTCACTTTTTATAATAGAAAAATGTATTACTCACTATACTGCCCACTGCTAGTTTGGTAAATTGGGGTTGGCACTGTAACAGTGGTGATTGCAGGGGCTGAAGTCTCCTCTTCTGACTTCTCTTCTTCGATCCTTGGCACCCCTGGTGCATCAGAAGATAAGTCATTCAAAATTTTCCTAGAAAAATAAGGAGCTATTTTAATTAAAAAAATTCACTAAGTACAAATAAAGATTAGAAAACTGCTAATGTATAGGACAAAAATTCAAACACATGAATAAACTCCAAACAAAGCAGGAACTTCAAATACAAGAACTATGTGGTGGTATTGGGGGGGAGGTATAATAAATAAAACTACGTATGGTTTTCTTTTCTTTTATCTTACGTGTTTGAGTGTTTTACCTGCACATGCCTGGTGCCTGCAGAGGCCAGAAGAGGCCACTACATCCCTATGACTGGAGTTACAAATGGCTGTGAGATGCTCTATGTGTCCTAGAGATTGAATCTGGATCCTTTAGAAGAGCCATCTCCTCCTACCTCCTCCAGCCTTCATAAGCTCTGTGTGTGTGTGTGTGTGTGTGTTTCCAAGACAGGGTTTCTCTGTGTGGCCCTGGTTATTCTGAAACTCACCCTGTCACCCTGTATAAATCAGGCTAGTCCCAAAGAGATCCGCCTGCCTCTGCTTCCTAAGTTCTGAGATTAAAGGCCTATACCACCACCTGGCTTATTTTGGTTTTTAAGACTGTCTTATTATGAATCTCAGGTTGGGAAAATCATAATCCTCCTGCCTGAGCCACCCCAGTACTGGGATTACAGTTAGACACCTTGCATGCCTGGCTCTAAATATATATATTTATCGATAACTATATAAAATTGTAACATGAAGAAATATTCCTTATTTAGAATTCTGGTTGAAGTTTAAACATTATCAATTTAGTCTCACAAGCTCATCTAGCTCCTCTTTGTATGAGAATCCAAACACAGCTAAAACATTACTCACATCCTAGTTCTGTTTGCTCTAGGTCATACTGGTTGATGAGAATAAATAACTTTTTTTTTTCAAATAAATTCTTCATAAATAAATCCAGAATCAGATATTTGAAAACCTAGCTTATTTTGTAAGCAGTTTTAGAGATTTCATAGTTATTACTTCAGTTTTATCCCATGTTTTTCAGCCCACTTCCTTTGCCTGCTGTGATCTTTCAAGGTACTCATGCTCCTGGGACCAGGGCACTTTATTAATTAAGCCTTACGGTTCTATCATTTGCAAATCTGATATGTATGGCTTCTGTTTTTTTCAGAACAATTACTGGTGAAAAATATCCACGAGAGACCAAATGGAGCAGCACTTTTCTGTTGTATCCAAATGAACTGCTTTATAATGATAGGCTGTTCCAATAAAAACCTATTTTGTGTAACCAATCAATTTCATTTTTCTAACCTAGTAAGCATGCTATAAGCATCTGGTATGTAGCTTGCTATAATCTAGATATAAAGGCTATATTTCAGGAATTCATAAACTTCCGATAAATAGTATCTTAGTGTGAAAGTTTGACTATAAGGTAAGGTAACATCCTTTATAACCCCTTCTCTACATGTTTTCTCTTGAGAGCTTTCATTTGATTAGTAAAGCATGGTTGATTTAAATAACATTTGCTAGGATTTTGGCCAGAAAAATATTAAGGCAAACAATAAAGCTGGTATTTTTGTAGGTTTCGTTTGTTTGCTTAAGTGTGACTATAGTAGGAGATACATGTTTGGAGGTTCTAGAACAACTCTGTGGAGTTGGTTCTTTCCTTCCACCCTTATGTGGATGAAACTCAGGTCACCAAGCTTGAGTAAGCATGTTTATCTGCTGGAGCCATCTGGCTGACTGGCAGCTATGATTTGCATAGGAGTTAGGAAAAGTCATGTGACTTGTTTCTTAATACTTAGTTGGATTTGCTTCAGGATCAAAGGTATTATATACTAACATGAAATATACTTCACAATGTCTCAAAAATCTAACACATGCTATATTTAAAACAAAAGAGGAGGGCTGGAGATAACAGCTTCAACTCCTAGCAACACACTAGCAGCTCACACTGTTTGTAACTCCCGTACTAGAGGACCTGACATCATTTCTAGTCTCTGCAGGTATCTCATGCACATTGTGCACAGAAATACAAACACTCATACACACAAAATAAAAGCAGATAGAAACGATTATACATATAAATGCCTATAATATATATCCTACAACATAAAATTTCTTAAGACCTCAAAATTAATTCACTAATAATATTTAGAATTTGTAATTGGGTGAGGACAGAAAAAGAGCTATAAGTAGTAACTATAGTAACTATAAGTAAGTACATGGAGGAAGGTGAAGCAATCAACTACCTTTAAAAAAGAAAAAGGAGCAAGGCTAAACGCTCAGTGGTTAAGAGCACTGGCTGCTCTACTATAAGACCTGTTTTGATTTCCAGCATCCAGAATGACTCACAACCATGTGTAACTCAGTTCTAGAGAATCTTCTTCTGACCTCTGTTGGCACCATGCACACAACTGGTGTACAGATATATGCAGACAAAACACCCATACACATAAAACAAAATAAATCTAAAAATAAGGAATAGAAATTTACACAAATAGGCATAATTTAAACACAGAAGGTAACTGTAAAAAAAAAAAGTTTACTGACTTCTTAAACATGAGATTAGTAGGTATGCTGTTTCCTGATATACTTAACATGGAACCAACTGATACATACACTAACTGTTTTTGACCTTCCTTCGAGACAAAGCATAGACTAGGTAGGTAACATTATAGTTGAACTCAAACTACAGGATGTTAGCAAAGTATCACCCTGAAAACCATTAAATACAGCTGTTTGTTAAGGAGCATGACATAAAAATTGCTTGTAAATGTGTTGCTACGAAGATCAACGTGTCACCAAGAACGATGCTAAGGGTATCCCAAGCTTTTTAAAGGAAGAGCAGCAGTCAGCACAGCTACAAAAACAGAATGTGGGAAATGTTGTCCTGCAACTGCTAGAGCAGTGCTTCTCAACCTTCCTAATGCTTTGACCCTTTAAAACAATTCCTCATATTGTGGTGACCCCCAATCAGAAAATTATTTTTGTTGCTACTTCATAACTGTAATTTTTCCACTATTATGAATCATAATGTAAGAATCTGTTTTTTCAATGGTTTTCAGGGATCACAAACCACAGGTTTGGGAACCACTAGTTTAGAGTAAGTAGTCTTATTCTGCACTGTAAACGTTAGCTTTTTTGAGAAGTAACTCAAGAAAAATAATCTGCAAAGTACTTGCTGGAGCAGCTTTATCAGTGTCCTGACATCGATCTGCCAAGCACTAAGCTTTGCTGCACCTCTCTGACTCTAACTATTAAATCACACACCTGTAGGAAGGCCTCCTTGAAAGGATTTCTCTTCGTTTTTGGGAATCAGTTACACTATCCACAGACTCCTGTGAATCTTCACTTTCTGCAATAGTTGAAATCTGAAAACAAAGAATAACTTTATCTTGATTATCAAATTTAGTTCCCATAAAATACTCAAATACAATAATACAATACAAAGAATGTATATACTCAATACAAAGAATGTATATGTAAATCTTATACATCAGTTTTAAACAGAGATAACATAACACTAAAATTCATCTCCTACAGACTAAAATGATGCCATGGAGACAAAAATGTTTGTCTAGAAATGTTTTTAATTCCTCCCAAGCAATTAATCCTGAATATATCACCACAGCAATGATTTCTTGTAGTGCATTTCCCACATTCTTTATTCTGCCAAGCAAAATAAAGTTTCTGACATGAGTTAGTCCTAAGTCAATAATAATATAATTTCCTGTAATTGTTGTGCAAACACAGATTTACAGTTGTATAAGTAAGTCAGTGATTCTTTACCAAATACTAGACTGTTGGCTAGTTTTATGTCAACTTGACACAAGCTAGAGTTATCAGAGAGGAAGGAGCCTCAATTGAAAAAAATTCTTCCATAAGATCTGGCTGCAGACAAGCCTATAGGGCATTTTCTTATTAGTGATTGATGGGGGAGGGCCAGTCCATTGTGAGTGGTGCCATCCCTGGGCTGATGGTTCTGGGTTTTGTAAGAAAGAAGGCTGAACAGTCATGAGAAGCAAGCCAGTAAGCAGTCCTTCATGGCCCCTGCATCAGCTCCTGCCTCAGGTTCCTGCCCTGTTTGAGTTCCTGTCCCGAATTTCTTCGATGATGAACAGTGATGTGGAAGTGACCTTTCCCTCCAAGTTGCTTTGGTCATGGTGATTTATCACAGCAATGGTAGCTCTAACACAGACACTGTAATTTCTCCAAATCAGTGAACATTCTCTACTATACATAAACATACTTCAAAGTTGGCATTCTTGAGTAAAACTTCAAAGTAATGAATGAGCTATGCATTTCTGTTAAAGGTCCTTAGACTGAAGAATGAGGGTGAATGGATAAAGACTGTGGGGTAGCAGAAACTAGAATTTACTAATCACATCATGTGCCAAATTGTATACTACGCCTCGATGTCGTCCATTATTTCATACAGTAAACATCAGGTATCAGACGAGTCCTGGTCCTTGGTTCACTGACGAGGACAGAAGAGCTGAGGCACAAGCAGGATGGGCAACTTAGGAGGCCACAACGCTAACAAGTGTGAGCCCTGATCGCAGTCAGCACTTGCACTTTAGACTTTACAAGCATTAAAACCCTGGGAGTTCCGGTGTCAGTGCTGCCATAGCTCACAGCACTTTACATCATTCTGGACTCAGTCTGTAAAATTTATATTACCAACTTTTTCTAGTCTATACTACAGGGGCCTCATGTGCTTTCCTCCATGTGACATGATGCTGTCACACTGAAAAGTAGACTTAAATAAGACAAGAGGCCCTGTATGTATTAGCATTGCTTCAAAATAGTCAACAACAACATGTAAAACCATATTCAGACAAATTTGAGAAATTCCAAAGGAATTCAGCATGCAGTCTATGCTCAAGGACTCTAGGGTGGACACTCATGTCTTCTGACAGTGCTGTATCATGCATATGCTCCTTGCAGAGAGAAATAAGGAATGCTCTAGCTGCTATACCCAGCCCACTCTAGTGTCTCTACACAAAAGTTCTTATGGATAAACAGAAGATCAGAAACTGAGAAAAGGAAAAAAAAAAAGACAAAGTCAATAGCCAATAAATATGTTCATAGTGGGCACTACTATGGCAACTGTACTTATTTTGGCTAATCTTAGTTCCCCTTTGGCTTTCTATCTCTGCTTGACTCTCATATACGATATACCCCATTCTTACAACCTTCTGAATATTTTTCCCTGTGGGAAGGAAGAGGCAGTTAAGTCTTTCCTGGTCACCTAGGCTGGCCTCAAACAGTCAAGACCTTCTAGCCTTGCTTCCAAATGCTGTATGTACTACCAGGCCTTACTCTTAACAACTATCAAGATCTTAAGGACACACACTGACACAGGAACACCTCATTCATGTTGAAACTCAATAAAACAAGCTCTGTGAGCTAGCTACTTACATACTTGGCTTGGGGGATATAGTTCAGTTGGTAGAGTGTTTGCTTAACATGAACAAAACTCTGAGTTTGATCCTCAGCACCAAATGAAAGTAAGTATGGTGCCTTACACCTACAAACATAGCACTTGGGAGGTAGAGACAGGAGGATCAGTAGTTCAAGGTTATATATGCCATATAGTAAGTCCAAAGTCAACCTGGGCTATGTGATTCAACAACAAAAGTCAAATATATATAAATAAACTAAGTACAGATTAGTTTCGAAATAAAATTCTGCTTTTTTAGTTGTAACTTTGTTTCCTACACCAACTCAGTGGATTTGGTTGCTTGTCTCTAATCTGAAAAATTTTGTCATTTCAAACAGAAAGGATTAACTAAAATGAGAAAAACCCAAACCACATGGCTATAAAGCATACCAACACTGAGAAGCCTGTGGATCATCTTACACTTGGGCTTTGATGGTTATGATGCAGTAGTTCTAACTAATGTAGCAATCTGGTGTGTGAGGTGTTAACATGAAAAGCTATGCATCTGGGGACCAGGAATACATGGGAAAACTCTCTAACTCTCAATTTTGCTGTGAATCAAGCTGCTCTTGAAAAATGAAGTCTTAAAAAAATCATACAGGATATAATAAGCTTTATACACTAATAAAAATTTCAAGATTCAATTTTATAACTATTCATAAATGTAAAAAATTAAAAGTAATCATTTACAACTAAAAGCCTAATACAGGTTTCATAATGATCACATTCCAGTGACAGAACCCCTCCCTCCTGCCCTCATACTTCCTGCCATCTCCCTGAACGTCTGTCACCCCAAATTCCTTAAACAGGTTTTTACCTTTGGCTGTTTGTAACAGTCTGGACATTTCCAAACCCTAAACCATTACTTATTTTTATAATTTGAAAATTTAAAAGAACTAAACAATGATTAGAAATTAAGAAATGATAAAACATTATTAAAACTATACAATCCTTTGCAAACTTAAGTGTTTTGCTTGGCTAAGATTAAGACTCCTGGTTTGGATAACTTTTCACTCAATGGATCAAAAAAGCCCAGATCTTAAAGCTTGATCTGCTATTCCCCTTACAAATAGGAAACTTGGAGGTTGGAGAAATGGCTCAGGTAAGACCACCAGTTGATCTTCCAAAGGACCTGGGGTTCAGTCCCCAGCACTCACATGGAAGCTCTCAACCATCTCTAATCCAATCCTCAGGACAGCTTCCTTCTGCTATCAACAGGTACTAGGCATGCACATCTTGTACAGGCATACATGTAGACAAATAAGAAAAATTTCACATGGGCATTTATGTTTATTTGTAAATTTTAAGTGTTATTTATTTTAAAAAGTTCTTAGGATAGGCTAAATATTAAATAACTCAAGTAGAATTTAGTTTTTTACTAACAGTAAGAACAATGTCATTAAATGCACTTCATTAAAAGAACACTGACAACCAGGCAGTGGTGATACACATCTTTAATCCCATCACTCAGGAAGTAGAGGCAGGAATTATCTCTATGGTTAGAGACCAGCCTGGTCTACAGAGAAAGCCCATCTCAAAAACCCAAAAGATCATTAACATCTTTCAACAGTAATTCAAGTCAAGTATGGAGGTGCATGCCTTTAATCCCAGCACTGAGGCAAAGCCTTTGAGGGCTACCTATACAGTAAGTAATACTTAGGCCCACCTAGACCTACATTTTTGGAAATGTGTCTGGATAGCTACCAATTTAAAAGAGAACTCTAAATGTAGAGATTAAGAAAACTAAGTGCCTTTTAGGTGTGCTTAGAAAATAATTATTTTCATTTCTATGTACCAATGAGCTAAGTGTCAAGATATATCCACTGTATTTTGATCCCTAGATCTAAACTGGTTATTGTATTGCACTCTAGCAAGAAGATATGTTTTTTTTTCCTTTTTTGCAACAAACTCTTACTATGTAAAACTCCGGGTGGCCTGTAGACCAGACTGGCCTAAGAAGATAAATTTACACTATTTACCATGAAAAATGTTAAGAAAGCATTTTCAAATTTCTCTCCAAAATTTCTTCTAAAGACTAATACTCCTTTCATTTGTGTCTAACCTCCCTCCCCCAAGATAGTACACAGGGGTTTCTATTAGGTGAGGTATTCCTTCAAAGCCCTTGCTTGCCATCACCAAGTATAGCAGACATTTTGAAACACTTGTCTTACGCTAGCAAAACAAAAACCAAACATCCCTCCCAACCCCCCAAACCCCACTACCGATTCTTAATTCAGACACAGCCGTGGTATGTAATAGCCAGAGAACGATCGGATCCACTATGTTGTAGTGCAAGGCTTTGCCACTGTCTCCACCATATCCAAGTATTAAAGAGTCTATCAACACTGACTGAGTCTCCATCGCTTTTTTTTTTCCCCTTCTCACTCACTTTACTTAGGTAACCAGCAGGAACTTCAAATTACAAACATCCTCATTTCCACATTCTTGGCTTGGCTTAGCTGCCTCTCCTGCTGTCTTTGGTTTCTGCTCACTGTGGTTCCCAACCACCTGAAATGAGTTACACCACACTTCCCTTTGCATCTTGTTCTACCCTTTCCCCTGTTTTATTAACTCTGCAGCACTTATCCTCACCTGACATATTTTATTTTCTCATAGTATGTCTCTCTTCACTCAACTGTGATCTTCATGAGAACAGAGAGGTACTGTTTGTTCACTGCTGTCTTTGATAGCACCTAGAACAATGACTGGCACATAGCATGTGATAAATAAACATTGGTTGAAGAAATGGATGGAATAAGTTACACTCATAAAATCTATGAATCCTTTCTGGTACATTTAGACAGTACTACATTGAAATGTGGCCCAAACTGGTAAGTGCCATTACTAACCCTGTATACACTGTGAAACTGCCATCATTTTTGCAAGAATTCTTATATCATCTGTGAGATATGATTTATACACCTAAGGAAAAATTAAGGCAGTAAAGTGAAGCTGTAAACAAAATATTAATACAGCTCAGTTTCCAATATTACTATATTGAAATATATCAACAGAAGTCCTACTATTCTTATTCTCCCATTAGGAGACACACACCTTGTATTATTCTGGGAACTTTATACATAACACTAACATTCTACAATCTAGAAGTTTGAGGGATAGTTTCAACCTGTTTGATAACCTCTTGTGAAGCACTACTTCCTCGTTATTAACACTAATCACTGCTCGCTGCCTCAAATACCTATCAAAGTTTAACACATTCTCCCGATTTAGAGTATTTAATGAAAAAGAAACACACATTTACATCCCCATATAGTCCAGGCTTCAAGGAGTCCAAGTTTTCTTTTTCAAACATGTATTTTTAAAGTTATAAGCATAGCTCACCATGATAAAAATGTATTCTTGAAAAGACACAGATTTCTATCAAAGTTACGGACATTTAATACTTGAGTTTAAATTATTTTTGCCCCAAGATAAGGTTAAAAATAAGAATAAAGGCAACAATTAAATATCATATTTTATTAATTAAAAACTGTAATATGTATTTTGTAGCCTAACTTTTTTAATAATAAAAACCTTTGGTTAAGTGAAAAAGTAAAGACCATGTGTGCTCAACATCACTTGACCTATTACTATCCAAAGTAGGTCTAATCTCTAAAACTCTTGACTAGCAGGCCAAGTTCTAGAGAACAATTCAGGTATGGAATTAATGCTGAGATCATATGGAGGATGGCAAGGTGGCATTCCATAAAATACACACTAAGTCACAGGACTACTTCTTATCATTGAGGTTTCTCAAAAACAGACCTTGATTTGGCTAATACTGTCACTGCTTGTTAGTAATGTCTATTCCCAGTATCTTTGGGAAATTAGTAACTTCAGGATTTCACATGACAACAGTTCTCTGCCCCATAAATGTTAAAGCAAACCAGAAGAACAAAGGAAATAAAAAGTAGGAGGTAACATCAACTCAATAGCTTGGCAAAACCTGATGTGGGTTTTGATGACAATAACAGAATCCAGGACAAAGGAGGAAGCACCTTTCCCCTTTGCAAAAATACTTATCAGTTCTGGCTACCATACGAGAAAAACACTCTCTCGTCTAGAAGAAAACAGCCAAGGCTGAGCAAGAGAAATCAAACATCTAAGCTTAACACATTCTAGAAAATTTTCTGTACAGTGGGAAGGGTATGGAGAAAGAAGGGAAAGGAAGAAGTTTGACAGAAACGAGTTAGATTTGCTTAGTTCTTAGGGTCACCAGGTCTCAATTAGAGTAGCAAGGCATACTCTGGCTAGCCACACAGTATTTTAGCAGTTAGGCTTCATGTCTAATTGTCCAGGCGTCAAGAGGTTCTGCTTCCTTGTCTCAAGGTGTTCATGCGGTTCTGGGCTAGCAGCTGGAGGAGAGCTGTTCTAGGACCTGAGCAGTAACTAAGCAGTGAGCAGTACAACAGAGGTGGAGAGTTTTGACTCAAACCCTGAAATTCCGTGTCAAAAACTTAAATAATTTCTCACCTTCCTTTCTACAAATAATTTTCTTCAAATCTAGGACCTAGGACTCACCTGAGTTCCGGAGAAAAGTCTTTTTAAGTCCTTACAGGAAGACTGTGAAGTAAAAAAATATGAAACGGGAGGCTGGGGTTATGGCCTACTTGCATGAATGTTCAGTCTTTGTTTGCTTTTTCCTTCAATTAGCTGATTTGCAAAGAATTATCCTGTTACTTCTCTTGGGTCCCTAGACCTAAGTAGTCACCTTCAGGCATCTAGAACGCCTTTATTCCCTTTACCCCAGAAGAGCAAACTCTTCAGAGAATCAGATATATGTGATACAATCACATATACAATCACATATACAATCAATGATCCTTATGATGTACCTTCTGAATGTAGTATTATTTCAGAGTTATATACTCTACCTAAAAGCTCTCAACAGACAATATCCCATATGATGTCTGATGTGATCTCTAAGTACAAATCCTATCTTAGGTTAGTCTATTAATTAATTTTTACCAACCCTTTCCCCATACAAACTTAGGTCCATTTTAAGTTAATTTTCCTTAATTGAGGTACATCAGTCCTACAGTCTTTCCCAACATTCCCAATTATCATATATATTTACTATCTATCTCTCTAAATAAATGCTTTTTCTTTTGAAGTTTAAAAAAAAAGTAATTTTCTTTAGGCATATATAACAGAACTATGCAGATATAACAGACTCCTTTACTATCAGGTAAAATAAATCTAAACTAGATGTGTCGCTATTTTCACAACTAATGAAAAGAGACAGAAATGGCTATAAACAAGTTATTAAAGTACATACAGAATTTTATACACATACCTGAACTGTTTGGACTTGTGGAGACTGAATGACTGATGGTTGGGCCGCCTGGATAACCCCATGGACCTGGACTGTCTGCCCATTGGGCAGCTGCACTAAGGTTACAGTGGGAGCAGATGATGTTGCATGAGCTGCTGGCATGGATACCTAGAGAAACACAGAAAGCAATGACCACCACAGAAACCTGTGGGACTACTCGGGTTTAATACAAAGTAACTTCTAATAAGCAAAAACATGGCCTTCCTGCTTTATACCTATTTTAACAATGTGCAAGAAATCAATGATTTAATACTCTTAAAAAAAAGTTCAAACCCTACAAATCTCCTCTACTTTTCAGCTCTTCCCAAGTGACAAAACAAAACACCAACCAAGAGCCAGCTATCTCCTGTAGCTTCAAAACACGCAGCCCAGCCATCCTCTGAAGGCTAAGAACACCCCATTCATATGGTGCTCTACATCTTCCTGCCTGCTTTTTTACATCTACATTTTCTTTCTTTCTTTTTAAACTAAAGGCCAAGTAATAAGGATTATATTTACTTAAAGACAAAAATATGCTAGGAAACTGATGGTCAGCATGGTCATTAAAGATGTGCTGGCCTTAAGCATAAAAGTTTTCAGAACACCCTGGTGTTAAACAATGCTTTAAAATCTTAACTTTTCCAATCTGGGCACTAGTTCAGAACGACATTTTCTAAATAAAGACTTTAGTATTCTACTTTAGACTAATTACACGTATGCTTTTTCATTAACAAGAAAGTATAAGCATTGTAATTAAAAATTTCACTTTCTCCTATTCACAAAAAACACTAATCTGGTAACAGGTAGAATTTTAAGAAGTGCTTTCATTTTGGATGAATAAAGGAGCAAAGCTGTAAAGAATATTAAAAGGAAACTAGTTTTTCTTAAGGTACAAAGAAGTCAATATTAATAATTCACTATCCAAATCTTAAGGGTTCTCAAATTTACTGACATGTCTATCAAATAGTATTTATTGTCCCTAAGCTCCAACATATTTAAGATAGAACTTTTATTGCTCATTTGATAAATATTAACCAGGACTCATGTTCCAAGAACAATGTTATAATAAAAACCACAAAACAGAGAAAGATATAGGACCCTGCTTTCAAAAAAAAGTTATTGACCTATACGTGTGTGTGCATCTGTTTGTGTGTGCACATGCACACATGTGAGCATACATGTGTTTGAATGTGTGTATGTGTACAGTGTGTGTGGTTTGTGTGCATGTGTGTGTATGTGTGGTGTGTATGGTGCATGTGCATGCGTGTGTGTGTGTGTGTGTGTGTGTGTGTGTGTGTGTGTGTAAAATGGAGGAAAGACATATACTGTTGCTAACGTCAGAGGTAGAGATAAAGTTATCAGAGGTTGGGAAAGGCTTCAATGGTCTAGTTATAAAAACCTCTCTGTATGTCACATTAAAAAAGCTTTCAAGCCAGACCTAGTGTCTCATGTCTTTAAGCCTAGCACTTGGGAGGCAGACATAGACAGATCTCTGCGAGTTTTAGACAAGCCAGAGGTGAAGTGGGACCCTGTCTCAATACAAACAAAAGTCTTGTATTTTAGTCAGTAAAAGTGGCACATGTTCATAATTCCAATACTAAAGATATTGGGGCAGAAGGATTGCTATAAAGTCCAAGCAAAGCCAGCCTGAACCATTCAAGGTCGTATCTCAAAAACAAACTTGATTTATTCTGAGAATATAGGAAGAACTGCTGAAAGGTCTTTGGAACTAAACAGCATGGTGAAGTTTGCATTTCAGATTAATCACTTTAGTGGCTGAATGACAGATATACACTCAGAGACAAGTGGAGGTGGTGTACCATGAGAAAGCCTACATAGTTGGGGAAAGACGATGAGGTCCAGAAATAGGGTAGTAGGTGGTAAGGACGGGTCTGAGAGAAGCAATTTGTATGAACATCTAGAGGCAGATCAAGGGCTTTCTGAATGTCTGAAGAGAGGAATTAAAGAGGAGACAGAATGGAAGAGGGACAAGGTTTGGAGAGCTGGGTTGTGGTGTAAGATGTAGTACTGGATGTGAGTTTACAGACATACCCAGCAAGATACTTCACTGAAGCTGGGAAAAGATCTCTTGAAGACAGGTTATCTTTAGCACACAGATTAAAACTAGAAGTTTCCTTTCCTTAGACATCCACAAAATCCTTCTGTATTAGTCCTATTTTCTCTGGTCACTTTCAGTCATGTTTCATTTTACCTATTTCTATAAGTGTGGTGCCAGGACTATCTGCAGAGTCGAGCATGTTGTCCTGTTTGTTATGAGGAAATCTAAGAAGAAACTTAAGAATACTGTCCTCTCAGGTTTGAAAGGTTCAGCCATAAAGTTATTATGAACTGAGTGTCTCTTCTTAATTCCATAGGAAAGCTATTTGAGTATTTGGCGCTATTACAGTATCAGTGACTTCTTCCATGCATCCTTTAAGGGTGAAGATAACAAGCGAATCCAGTGATGTCTATCCTAGTATTCACCAAGGCGCCTCACATTTAAGTTTACATTGACATATAAACCAAACAGAGTATTAACTAAGCGCCCTTTCATGTGTGCATGGGTGGGCAGCAGACACATACTCTAGCTTGGAAATGTATCACCAGTCCTCCTTTTTTTCAATTTTAAGAGTGTCTCACTTCATTACCCAGACTGATCTTGAACTTATGATTCTCCTGCTCAGACTCCCAAGAAGCTGTTATCCCAAGCATGTCCAATAAGGCCTGGCTAAAAATCCTATATATCCCTACTACCAGAACTACCATGGCATTTTTGCTGCATTCTAGCTATTTTTATTCTGTGACATGGATTAAACTCAGGGCCTTGTGCTTGCTGGGCAAGCACTCTCCTATCACAGGTATCCTATCTTTTGACACTGTAATGTTGTCACTCACAAATGTCTTTGGTCATATTCACAATTATCTTGGGAAACATATGGCCTGGTCAAAAGTGAGACAAGCTTGACAGATGTTTCTCAAGATACACAGACACATTCAACATTTACAACGTACTATCATGGAACCTATTTTTTTGTTTTAAAATATATTATAAATATCCTTACATAGACTTACTAAAAATATGGCTACATAGTAGTCCATTATTTTTGTTTAATTATTTATTGCTAATAAAGCCCTACTATTACTTTTTGCTTATACTTATTAAAATTTTACATTCTCATCTGTGTGGTACTAAACATCTGTAATCCCAGGACTGAGGAGGCTGAGGAAGGACTACTCCAATGTGAGGCCAGCTTACATGATCATGTACTGTCTTAATAAACTAAAATGGTACATTCTCATGGTCAAAACCATGGGTATTTTAAACCTTAAATTCTAAAAGTAAAATATGATGTATTTTATGTTGATTATCTTTCTTCCTTTATTACTTGCTTTCTCCCCCACTCCTATTCATTGACAAAATCAAAATCATTCTGCCTTAACTTTACAAGGTTTTTCTAGTATTTAAAAACTGGCATTAAAATGTAATCTGGAGTCAGAATTAACAGGAGGTTGTATCAACATCTATGATACACATTTCCCTCAAGGCTCAGGGAACACTGTAAGAGGGAGTTGAAAAGAATGTAACAGTCAGAGGATGGGAGGGAATGCTGGGAAACTCTGAGTTCTAGGCATGACACTGCTGTTAGACTAACAAACTGTTAATCACAACTCTGGTGACCTGCAAGAGACATGTATAAGATGGGGTATGTAACATTCTACCATGGATGGAGGTAGGACTTCATAAGCTCTCTGAGGAACTATTAGCAGTTAATGGTTGCGGGAGAGGGACAGACATTGTCTTCAGTAAGACAGCCACTGACAAGTTGTTATGTAACTCCCCACTCACGTTCATGGAAGCGTCCATAATTACCATCAGTGGGTCATAACAACAACAGCAACAACCAGATGAAGACAACAAAACAGAAATCTCGGAAAGAGGTCTGGCAGGAGTAAAAGGGTATAGAGGCGATAAACATGAGAAAAATACATTCATTATATACATGTATCAAACTCAAAAAATAAAAGATAATTTTTTGTAAGTGTAGTGTTTTTGTTAAGGAACTTAGATGAATAACTAAGAAGCACAACTGTAACTACACAAGAAGAAAAGAGAAAAGCTTTCTTAAAATCCACGGTCAACTACACATTCCAGTCTAAGTTTTCCATGCTGAAAGGCTGCCTAATAGTAGACTGAACATGTTCCCTTGAACATGAATTCCGAGTTATATCTCTTTTTTTTCTTTCTTTCTTTTTTTTCTTCTTTTTGGTTTTTCGAGACAGGGTTTCTCTGTGTAGTCCTGGCTGTCCTGAGACTCACTCTGTAAACCAGGCTGGCCTCAAACTCAGAAATCCACCTGCCTCTGCCTCCCAAGTGCTGGGATTAAAGGCATGCACCACCACCGCCCCCGGCTCCGAGTTATATTTCATGAAACTGATTTCACTTCTGTATGCATGATCCTGTAAGTGTGGGGTCTAGGAAAGGAGGCAGTAGAGTCTTGGAGGCTGGTGAAGAGATGGGTCAACAGTAACAAATGAAGAGGGCCATGGATGGTTCAATCATAGAAGAAGGGAAGACTGCCTTGCACCACACAAACGTAGATGCTCGGGATCTCGTACACTGTAAACAGAAGCATGAAGAGAAGGGCTCAAAAATAAATAAAGGGTGCACTGAAAGCTCTTTAAAAACAATGAATCCTTTCTCAATCCTGAAGAAGTCTGGCCTGCTGTGAGAGAAGAGTGCAGAATTACACAGATAATGGGTCTTATCCGTGTCACACCAGGTTTACTGAAAGTCACTATGATACCCCACCCCTCTTCCTTCCCTTGGCTCTCAGGCCCTTTATATAGAAACAGAGGGTTCGTCTAACCTCTGCGGACTTGATCAAATTTAAGATCCAAGGTACTAACAGTTAAACCCACCAATGTCCTGCAGTCAAGGTCCGGGTTTGGAGCTGTTGGGCTACAAATATAACCACAAAGCTTCCAAAGTAGCTTCTTAGTCATTTTACATCTGTCTATGAATCACTTAATGTTGGAGCATGAGCCCAGGGCTTTGTATGTGCTAAGTACATGTTCTACCATTAAGCTACAATCCTACTTCCTATCTCCCTCTACTTTAATCCTGAGCAGACATTCACAGAGTATTAAGAATATAGTGAAAGCCTGTAGTAGGAAAGATGGAGACTAAAACAAATAGAAACAAAGATGAAGAGTTATAAGGCCATGTGAGAAACAGAAATTCAAAATAACTACCAAATAAGGCAAAAACAATCCCAAAACAAACTCTTTTCTGAGAATAAACAAGATATTATAAAACACAGGATACTATGAAAATACCAAAAGATTACCCAGGGAACAAACAGAACACTCTTTGAAACATGATGGCAATTCAGCAGTCAGGGGCTGGAGAGATGGCTCAGAGGTTAAGAGCACTAGTTGCTCTTCCTGAGGTCCTGAATTCAATTCCCAGCAACCACAAGATGTCTCAAAACCATCTGTAATAAGATCTGGTGCCCTCTCTGTGCTGCAGGGACACGTGTAGGCAGAATGCTGTATACATAATAAAATAAATCTAAAAAAAAAAAAAATGGTGCATGGCTTCTTAAAAAACCAAAACAAATCCATGCTTTGTAAATGAACTGTTTGCTTTAAAAAAAAAAAATCCAGCAAGCAGGATGAATACACTCCTAGGACGCAGAGCAAAAAGACTGAAAAAACTGCAAGGAAAATGAAGAAACAGACAAAAATACACCACCACAAAACCAGTCCCAGATCACAAAGATCCTGACAGGCATGCAAAACAAAACCACCACCAACTAATTGAAAGAAATTTCCTAAAACAGAGGGTGTGAGTTTCCACTATAAAAAGATCCTTGAATTCAGAGGGGAAAAAATGAACTAATTTATTAGTACTCATTGTAGGGAGATCTAAGGTATTTTGTAATATCTAATATAAAAAATGAAATTAAGTCTTCTAAAAATTTGTAAGCAACACTAAGTAGACCATAGAAAACTTCCAAAGAAAATGTCTTACCAAGAATTCTTACGCCAGTTAGTCTTTTATTCTCAAGATTATGTTACCTACATGTTGTTCTACCTCATCAAGAATGCAAATTCCCTAAGAAGAAGTCATGAGAGCAAAAAGAATTTCCAAGATGACTCTATAAAGTCAACTCAGGGAACAATCAAGCCGGATAGAATGACCAGGTTAGGCGACATGCTGAAGGCTGTCGTCATCAAGGAGACTGTTCAGCTAAAGGATCGATGCGCTCCAACTGCTCCGGGCCTGCTTTTACCAAGCCTGTATTGACTAAGTGCTGCCTCATCTGATATAGCTTATGTGGTGATGTTCTTCCCGTGAGATCTGCAGGGAAACCCTGTTCTTATGAGAAAGAACAGTCAGCTTGCTCACTCTGACTCACTCCCACCCTCACCCCAGCCATGCTGACCCCGGTATTTCTCAGGACTTTTTCTTATCAGCCATTTCCATTGGAGATTTTTAACTCCTGGAGAAACTGAAGATAAGCAAAACAAAGCTCTGCCAGGCCTTTTCTTTGGGAGCCTACACTACAGCGTGGTACTGTACACCTTTAACCCAGAGGAAGGTGGCTCTCTGTAAGGGTGAAGCCACCAGGGCTAGACAGTGACATTCTGTGTCCAAAAATGGGAGAATAAAATACCATATTCTTAACCTAGCAGGTTTAATATTTATTTGGTTTTTATATTAAACACTTTTTTCACTGATATTTAAGGTAAGATGTTAATAAAGAAAAAGAGATGAGAGTAATAAAACAAGCACAGAGATGACAGGCTTAAGGGTAGGACACTTAAAACAAAACCAGACTAATGTATTTAAAATTAAAATGCAGAGGAAAAAAATGGCTGCTCTCATCCTTAGGACTGATTCACACAGCAATTTATCTGTTTATTCTGCTTTTTAGTATTAGAATATATAAACTTAGGCTTTCAAATCATCTGTACCTCCAGGTCCCAAAATAAGTCTGTGTGGTATTTAAAACAAAAATAACAAAAACAAACAAACAAACAAGGCAGCTGTCATTATTGCCTTGAGAGGGCCAATTCATTTACTAATAAAAAAGTAATTATTTCTGAATCATGTCACTACACATACTAATGTTTAATGATACATTTTAGTAATACGCTAATTAATCATTACTTTTATTTCTAAACATAAGCTAATGCTAATACTGAACAGGAATTCTGATATAATTAAGAAAATTTCCACTCATTCTACATATATTTTTATTAAAAATTAAATTCTCTTGGAAACATATTACTCTAGAAGAGATACAGCTTGGAGCCTCTCCATGTATTATACCTGGGCTAATGTGGCAATCTGTGGCTGGGCTTGAACTGTCACTTGTTGACTTTCAGCTTCAGTTACAGCAGCGTCTCCACTCTGCTGGTTGTCTGCTCCAGATTCCATGGTCATTTAGTTACCTACAATAATATGGAAGAGCGTTACAAGCACTACAGTGCTTTGTACTTGCGTGACTTTAAAGACAAACTTCAAGTTATAAACGGGCTACGTGGTGGTTAGCTTAGTAAATGCACTTAGAAATCTAGTTTAAAAAGAACGCAACTGACTCAACTTGCTCAAATCTGCTTAGCTATAAACCCTAGTAACTTCAAATAACAAAACAAACAATGAAGAAATACAAAATCTTCTCTGGGTGTTTCTTCCTCATAGGAAATGAAGAATGGCCCCTCTCTTGATTGGTTCTGTACTAGTGAGAAGGCCAGAGGTGGCAGCAAAGCTGACTTTTCCAAGCTGTACCAGTCAGGTTCAGAAAGAGGGTAGAAAGCAGGAGTGAAGTCAGGTCTGAGATTCTGGCTTCAGATTCTCTAGGTATTTTGTCCTGTCAGAGCAAGAAGAGCAACTGTAAGTTGCTCCCTAGTAGGTAAGTGGTAATGGGGCAAACCAAAAGCCCATACAGTGGGAGTACAGGGGTAAAAAAGTAAAATAAACGGCTAGAGCCTAATCAGAGACTTCAAACATAGAGAAGGGCATATGTTCCACTCCTCACTCACAGCAGAGTAGAACACGACACTACACACACAGAAGCAAAACAACTTATGTCTGACTGTGAAATTCTAGATAAGTCAATACTGGACTCTAGCACTTTCCAGACCTTGTTGTGCATGTCTGTGCAGTGCTCTAACACCTCACAGCAGCAAGAATCAAGAAAGAAGAGCTCCTAAGTGCAGAAGTTATATGCAGATTTTAGTAAATTTTCAGATGGGGAAGCAATCCTTTCTAAATAATTTTGGGGACAAGGAAAAAGGAAATACTTCTAGTGTATCCATCTTATAGCTCAATGCCTACATATTACCAGACGAAAATGAATTTATGAGTGGTATCTATATACATCTCTCATATATCAGAGAAATCTCAATGCTTTACCAAACAACTCTAAAACTAATCAAAATATACATTCATCCTTATGATCATTGTATACTATCAGAATGTATCTAATATTTAACATGTCATTATAATACTTTAAGTTGAAGATAAAATGCCATTTCAGAAATTAATATAGAAAGTTAGAAATACCAATATCCATACAACATATATGACAAAGTAAAAAAGATCACCAGACTCTACAGCATGGTTATTTAAAACAGTCATAAAGCTCCTGAGGAACTGGGAGAAGTAACTGCCAAATGCAAAATACAACTATGAGTCAATATGAAATTCTCAACAGTTAGTTTACAAAAAAAAAGTAGTTCAAAGGTATCTGGTGTAGAATTTTGTTTTATTTTGTTTTTTTAATATCACAAAACTAGAAACACTATTTTTTAGAAGGGATATAAAAAGAATTAATGTTTTAAAAAGAAATCTGTCTACAGTAGAATTCCATTTATAATTTTTAAAAAAAAGTGTGATGGTGTGGCCATGAAAAGGGTGTAGAGAATTAAACACTAAGTGGAAGTGGTATCTGCAAAATCTTTTATAGGATGGCAAGTCTCTTCATCGGGTATTCTTACATACTTTAATATCAGTACTGGTTGAAGACTATTTTCTTTCTAGGGAACACAGATAAAGAGTGTTTGCATAGTTTAAGAAATAATTCATCAATATCAAAAGTCATGGATATTTTTGAGCTATGAACCCAAACTGTATTTCAACAGTGATTTGGAAATACCCATTGACACTTTCTCAAACTTCACTTTAAAAAAAAAAAATTACAGGCTGGACAGTGGTGGCACATGCCTTTAATCCCAGCACTTGGGAGGCAGAGGCAGGTGGATTTCTGAGTTCGAGGCCAGCTTGGTCTACAGAGTGAGTTCCAGGACAGCCAGGGCTATACAGAGAAATCCTGTTGCGAAAAAAGGAGAAGAAAAAAATTACTCATTTATTTTTATATGCATCGGTGGTTTGACTTCATGGATGCCTATGTGAGAGTGTCAGATCCCCTGGAACTGGAGTTACAGGGAGTTGTAAGCTGCCATGTAGGTGCTGGGAATTGAAGTAGGTCCTCTGGAAGAGCAGCTCTTAAGACTGAGGTATCTCTCCAGCTTCCCCCCACCCCTTTTTTAAGTGAAAGTACTTATTTTGGCTGAACTGTTTACTCTGTATTAACAAATGAAGGAAAGCCAGAAATAACCCAGCTATGAAAATTTACAAAATTATCATTCCTGTTATACTAAAAAAAGATTAAGAAAAACTTAGTATGTTTAAAAAAAATTCAAATAAGTTGGCTATCCCAAGATGTATCTATACCTTTGACTTGAATGAAAATGGCATGTGGAACAAATTTCAGGAGCAATAAATGAATACCTAATACCTCCTTTGCAGATAAAATATATAACAATCATTTTAAAAGGCTTTCTTCCAAACCACACCTTTTCAAAATTTTGTTTCTTTATTTATACCTCCGTTGCCATCCATCCATAGTTTCCTCTACCAATTGATCAAAGGTAGCCTACAGATGGGTCACAATCCTTGTTTCTATTGAGAACAGCCTGAGACTACTTACTTTTTTTTTTTTAATTTAAGGTATAAGGCTTCTTGATGAGTTTTTGGTTCAGAAAATAGGGTTACTGAATCATAATAAAAGAACAGAAATTTTAAGTAGTTACAGCTGCAGACAGTCAAAAAAAGGGCTATGGTTTTCATAATCTCTCCCCGAAACTAGATAATATTCTCTATCACTGGAGACTATGATATTTCCAATAGCAACAAGTCCTCAACTAAACTGCTAATATTTTATTACCACTTCATTCAAGTGTAGGAATCAATCTTAAATGGTTAACTTTTAGCTTAAACAGATGCCAACCAAATGGGCAATGGCACAAATAGTGTCTTTCTTAAGAAAACGGTGCTGGTAAGATTACGATGACAGATGAGAAGGTACTTGGACTCAAACACAACACTCTTGGTTTTCACCTTGAAGGTGAAAACCATCCTAAGGTGAAAACCACCCTTCTGCCAGTTGGCCTGAGCTGACTTTTGAGGCAGGTGCATTCATGTCACACTTCAGAAGGTTCTGCCTGTTTGTCTGCTAGTATGGGAAGAACAGACTGCGGAACATCATGTGTAGGATCTGCAATGTTTCTATTAACCCCAGTGTCGTATCCAGGTACAGAATTACCTATCAGAAACAATTTGTGGGATCCTGAACAAATGAAAATATAAAAATTAGTCCCTGGGGCTGAGGCAATGGCTCAGGAGGTAAAAGTGCTTGTCATGCAATCCTGGCAACCTGAGTTTAATCCCTGGAAGCCCCCTCAATGGTAGAAAGAGAAAACCAAGCTGACACCACAAAGTCGTCCTCTAACCATCATTACTACCACACCCAACATGCACATAATTACATTTTTAAAAATTGTAACTCTTGAAGTCACTGGACTTAGAATTTTTAAATTGCAATGGGCTAATTCACAACAAAATAATTTTCTTTACTGATAAACTTTACTAACAGTAGTCTTAAATTTGATCAATTTACATTATATGCATTATGCTTCTACATGCTAAGCACTCTTCAGGTTATTGAGTGAAATTGTAAACAGCTTTCCTTTATAGAGCTTGCATTCTGCTACACAGGAATAGGACAAGAAAGTAGGCAAATAAAATGTCCACCAAGTCAGAGGGTGGAAGTGTGTAGGAAAATTATCCTAGTACAAATAGTGGCAATATTATGTGTGACATTTTATCCAGTATTATGAAGGCTGACCAGTTAACCTGTCTAACTGGTTAATTTAAATTCCCCTAAGTAGCACCTATACATAAGTGTACTGGATTGGAAATAAATTTGGCAGCACTATCTTCCTATCTGTGTGTACTAAGTTAATACAAATTGTCAAACTGCAAATTGAAGCTGATCAAAGAAAGCCAAACTGCCACTTTCATAATCACTAAGCGAAAGGAGGTTATACACCTCCACTTCTTTTTCCTAAAATACTCTGATTTTCTTAAGAACCTCAGTCCTTAAGACCTTCAACACTCTACAAGTTTTTGAGAAATAAATCTACCTTCAGGTGGCTGGATATGGTTCAGCAGTGTATATTGATCCTGCAGAACATACTGTTCCTGCAAAGCACCTAAGTTTAGTTCCCAGAACACACCAGAGGTAGCTCACAATAATCTGAAACTCCAATCCCCGAATCCAAGGCTATCTCCTGGCTTCTGCTAGCACTTGTACAAACATCCCCAATCTCACACATGCATATATATTTAAAAATGAAATAAATTTGAAAACAAAACAAATCCATCCTCCTCATAACCTGGCTATTTAAGTCCTTAAATTCAAACTTAATTCTTTTAAAGATGTGAGATAGGATTTCAAAGAAATGCTTTTCTAACTAATGGAACATATGCTGTTTGTTAAAATGAAAATAACCTGTCATGAGAAAAAGATTTTTCAGCATAAGAATAAGATCATAACTCATCCTCAACTCTTAAAACTCCAAGGATTTAAGGAAACCACATAAACAGAACTGAAGTTTCTAGGGCAACTTCAGCAAAAGGTGTATTTGGGCACATAATTTAAAAACTGACTAGGGTTAGGGAGTGAGTCAGCGGTTAAAGAGTGTGTACTGTTCAGAGGACCTGTTTTTGTTTTCAGCAGTCATGTGTCTTAGCAAGCAGCTCACATTCAGCTGTAACCCAGCACCACAAGGATCTGACACCTATGGACTCATCAGGTACCTGCATGTACATATATACACACACGTATATTCTGCAGAAGTATATCTAGCCTTACATGGGGTACAATGATTTGTAGTTCTTTTGTATTTGTTTTTAGTTTTGTGAAGTTTAAAAGCCTTGTCAACTCATCTTTTCTTTCACCTCTGATATATGCTCCTTTTCTGAAGTGTCACTGACCAGTGGTGAAAGCTGTGTGACAGATGCTGTTTCACAATAACCTTGTGGCACTGCCTATATTCCTCTACCTTATCCCCCCCGCAGAGTTCTTTCTTGCTCACCCTGAAACATG